TGATGCTCCTCCTTGACAAGGGGACAGTGGGCCCAGGCTCTCGTGCTCAACCAGCTAAGCCCCAGCTGCAGCCCCGCAGTGAACAACATGGGACTAAGGGTTCTGAAGAGACAGACAGTCTATTTCTTGGAACGGAATTCTATGATCCACATGGGCAGAAATCTTCTTCTTCTTTTTTGCCCCTTCACTGCTGTGTCTCCAATACCTATACGAGTGTCTGGTTTATGGTAGGTGCTTAACAAATATTTGCTGAATGAATGAGTGAGAGTAAAAGTTTCTGGCTTCCTAAAGTGGGCAGGTATTCATAGTCAACACTTCAGTGAGTTACGATCAAGTTAGTCTTAATGTCTTCAGAGCCTTTGAAGGGCGACCACTTGCTTTGTAGTCCACAAAGTCAAGGGACCCCCTTTGAAATGTTGGTATGAATTTGGAAGTCATCACCTCTTTACCTCCCACTCCGGTTCTAACCTGCAGGCACCTGGGGCTGCAGACAAAATGAAAAAGACAGAGCTCGCTATTTCTTCTCTACTTTTTTCTCCAACCAAATTGTGTTCATTTCCAAAGAGCTAAGGGATTACCTTTGACATCGCTTCCGGGGGGCTTTTGGAAGAAGGCATCTTAGACACGCCAGGGTCTAATAAACTCACTTTTCTCTCTTCCCATTTTTCTCACTCTCTATTCCCACTTGGGCTAAATAGTTTACTTGAAAGTTCGTATCACAACCAATTGACAGAAGCGAACAGGGTCTTCAAAGCTACTCCCCCTCTCTCCCTTTTCTGTTCGATCTTCTCCACGGCGCAGTAGAAAGCACGGTTGCTGGCCTCCAGCACTCCTTCAGCTGTGTGGCTTAGCTAACTTGCGTCTGTCAGTGGTCTGGGGCTCTCTCATTTCTGCGCAAAGACGAGGTTGTACAGGTGGCTTGAAAGGACCTCCGGCGCTCTTCTGTTCAGTCTCCTTTTCTCTTTTTAGCTGTTCCTCCTTCCTTCTTGTGTCCTTTTCCCTCTTTACCTTTGCGTTACTAACGTCACCTATGCTTTTCGAAACCGCCTCCCTTCCTCTTCCTGCCTGTTCAGCAGACCCGTGCTGTCAACACATTTAGACCCTAAAGTTCCCTTTGCCCTTGATCCACGAGGCCTCAGGGAAATAGTATCTGTCTAGAAGTAGCCGACTCAATGGGAAAAATTGTGAACACAACTGGGCGTAGAACATAACTGAAGGAGGTGCATGTTTAAGCGACCCTGGGCGCAGTCAGACTCCGTAGGGATTCGTGAAGCAAGTGATGTTTGGTTTGTCGGATGAACGTCACTGGAGGAAAGGTTCTCAGAAAATCCTGCCTTGTTTACGTCACTGGTCTTTGGACTGAGGCCAGAGCTTCTGGGCCTTTTAGAACCCAAGGGTCAGAGGCCAACCTGCAATTTGGTGCACGCTACCTTCTGTCTCCATTGGGATTCGGGATCTCCTGAGTGGCTTCCATAACTTCTGTCGGACCCATCCTAGGGGCACGGAGCCTTTAAGTGATCTATCTTCTCGTGAGTTTATCTCACCTCTAGCTACTGAGGGAACATTGCCACTGTCCTCTGGGTGTCTGTATCAGGGATGCCACCAAGCAGAAAAGGAGTGAGTGATGTACCTCACCTAGTTTTCCCGCTCCATGACTTGCTGCTGTAGAGCAGGGGTGGGGAACCTTTTCTCTGCCAGGGCCCACGTGGAGATTGATAGCATCGTTCGTGGGACATGCTGGTCAAACACCTCACCCCTAATGCGAGTTGGGCGAGCTCCTTCTTGGAAAGTCGTGAGATGCTGGCTGGCCTTGGTGGTCAGGCCCCCAGGCTGGATGTTCTCCACCGCTGCCCCAGAGCAAAGCGTCTTAAACGAGAGGTGGGGACCCGGCAGGAATGTGGGGAAGTCCTGGAAAAGTCAGCAACCGTGAAGTTTCCTGAAGCGCAGCGACCAAGGACTAATTCCAAATCAAATGCAAAATACCTCCCAAGTGCTTCTGGCGGCGCTTGTCCGTGTTGCAAATTTCTCAGGCAAAAAGTGGTTGCAAGTGGGGAAAGTTTAAGAGCCCTGCTCTAGAGCAGCGCTTCCCAAAATGGGGCATACCTCCCTCTGGGGGGTGGGGAGGTGCTGGAACAATCCAGGAGGCTACAGAAGCAGTTACCTACCATTCCTCCTGGAGTTTGGGCCATGGAACAACGATTTTTAATCGCCAGAGGGGTGCTGAGTATCGCCCACCATGGGAAACACTGGACTACAGCATAGGGTCCCAAACCAATTTCCCCCTACCAGAAAAAGACTTCCCCAGCAGCCCCCTGCAATGGAAACTCTTGTACTATAGACCGTACAGAATCCACGATAAAATGGGGGTCTCTGGTTTTGAACCCTCCCGGATTGCTTGAGTGTCCCCAGGGACACACTGCAGCAGCATCAGACCCAAGAGTAGGGAGAACAGGGGTTGCATTATCGGGCCGACCTGGATTCAGGCCCCAGCGCTGCCATCGACCTCCCTCCTGGGCATTGTTGAACTTCCCGGGCCTGTTTCCGCCCCGTAGACTCGAGATGATACCTCATTCGTGGGCAAGAAGACCATTTGCCTCTCTCCCGGGCACCTGCTGTCCACTCTGCGTCTTCGACCTTCTGCTTGGAGCCTGGCTTCACTGTGCTGGTGAGCGCTTAAGAAAGCTTGGATTTCCCTCGCTCTTTTGGCCTGGAAATGGACACAGTCTTTGTTCGCTTTAGTTCTCTAGGTTAGGGTTCTTAGAAGGAAACTTTATTAAGCAAATTAAAAGCAAAATCCATGGCTCGACCAGAGCATGGACACTGGTACAGATAAGGGCTCTTGACACACAGAATCCAGGACCGATAAACCCCTCAGGACCAATAATGAGAGTATCGATACCATGAGGGTAGGGGGCAGGTGGGGGGAACCAATCACAATGATAGACGTGTATCAACTCCATATAACAGAAACATGGGTGAAGGGAGACAGTGCATGGTACAAAATATGAAAATAATAAATTATCAAGAGTTCACGAGGGTGGGAAAAAAGAAGAGCTGCTACCAAGGGCTCAAGTAGAAAGAAAATGTTTTGGAAATGATGATGGCAACCTATGCACAAATGTGCTGGATACAATTGATGTATGGATTATTATAAGAGTTGTAAGCGCTCCCAATAAAATGATTTATTAAAATGAAGAAAATAATAATAAAAACGAAATCCAAAATAAGGGAGTCCATAACTCATAGGAACAAGAATTCACACTGCGCACATCCCTAAATCATAAGGTGGATGAAGTGGAGCCGCAGACTCAATTCGCCAGCGCGGCCATCGGATCTGAGGCTTCCTCTTCAGCCTGGTGTCCTTCGTTTGGCCAGAAGTGGCCGGGAGCTGGTTGTGTCCATATGAAGGTCAGCCTCTCCCCTATTGTTCTAGGCTGGTCTGCAGGCCTGGTGTATCTAGGACAGTAGTTCTTAAGCCTGCTCCGCAGACTCACCTGGGGAATTCTCGCTCCAAGTGTGGATTCCGGAAATTCTGCTTCACAGCTCTGAGAGGGAGTCCGAGACTCTATTACTGTTTGGTGCCGCCCATCATTCTGTGGTGCCCTGTGGTCTTTACCATTGTCCACCAGGGGGCTCTTTAGCATCCATCTCCTTCTGTTTTAAAAGTTCCCATCTTCCTGTACCATTTTTTTCTTCCTACACCTTGGCCTTAAACCTCTCACTCGGCACCTGTTTTCAAGGTTAAGGCCATATTTCTGTTTTTAAATGTTTTCTTTTGAAAAAACCCGAACTGGCAGAAAAGTTGCGGGGTAGTACTGTGAACAGCCCCGGGTCCTTCTTTTAGATTTCTCATGGTCGCTGCGCTCTTGTCCCCTGTTGATGTGCAGAGCAGAGGAGGGCCAGCCCTTGAACCCAGCCACGATCAAGTCTCTTTCCTGGCTCCTCTGTCAGCGGCCTCCCTCTCCCACGCTCGCCATCGTGACCCATAAGGTTGTCACCAGTGGGAATGCGCTCTATTCTCA